TGACTAAACTTGGTCTTGAGTGGGCAATAACGATGGAAGAATTCTCTCATCTCTCATTTTCCCTCTGCTCCTCTTCCTTCACCAAAAGAGAAGGCTAATCATTTCCCAGAGGCCACAGATTATTCTGCTTCTAAACCTGTGGATTGATGATTTACCAGCTAATCTTCCTTTATCTGGACCATCAGTCTGAAAATTAATCACAGCATTCTCCTCAGTGTTCCTGGGTTTTAGTCTAGGCACCCACTCAAGGTTTTTGAACCTAAAATCATCATGTGAGCCCAAATCATTCCCTCTCTGTCTTGTCTCCTTTGCCTGGCTTTTCTCTGCTCTCTACCCAAACCTCTTTGAAAATTTGCTTACTCTTCCTTTGGAGGCATCTGGATGTCACACAGAATTTTCACTTTTGCTTTTTCAGCAAAGTGCAAATCTGTACACTCTAAATTCTTTTTGTTTAGCATTCCCATTTTGGATGAAAAGTTGGAAATTAAAACCATCACATCTGTGTGTGGGAGCTTTAAAAATCCACAACACAATGGAAGAACAGCTTGATTGTGAAAATACTGCTTCATTAATTTGAATTTTCATTAATCTCTACTTCTTCATTAAAATGTATGGCCGATGAAGGAAGAGTACTGTCTAGATCAGACATGGGTTTTGAAGTCAAGCAGATTTATGCTTGAATCTCAGCGTTGCCATTTTATCTGTCGTAACCTTGGGTCAGTCATAACCTTTTAAAATTTCCTCATTGGTAAAAGGGGGGGAATAATAGTGGGGCAGATATGAGGGTTAAATGAGCTAGTCTACGCCCATGTGGCACACAGCCTGGCTCTGCTAAGCGCTCAATAAACATTTGTTCTTTTCAAATGTAATCTATGTAAAGTACCTGCAGAGTCTGCACCAAATAGATGCCCTTTCCATCTTCCTTCCCAAATGCCAAATTTCCCTCTAGTTTCAGTAAGAATGGATTTGTACCAAAACCCCAGTCACGATACTTTCTGACAAGGGACTTGAGATTTGATATCTTTTCATGCCATGTAGCAGGCTGAATGGTGGCCCTGAAGATATGTCCACGCCCTAATCTCTGGAACCTGTTCATTTTACTGTATATGGCAAAAGGGTGGATATCACCTTATATGTCAAAAGATGTGATCAAGTTAAGGCTGTTGAGAGTAGAAGTTTATCCTGGATTATATGGGTGGCCCTCAGTGTAATCCATGCACTGGTACTATGAGGGAGAGAGAGTTCTAAGCCAGATGCTCACAAGAGAGACACACGCAGAGGACAAGGCCATGTGAAGACGGGGCACAGGCTGGAGTGGAGGCCACAAGCAGCCAGAAGCTGGAAAAAGCAAGGAAGGATTCTTCCCTGGAGAGTGCAGAAGGAGCAAGCCGAAGTTTTGATTTCATACTTCTGGCCTCCAGAACTGTGAGACAATGCCTTTCTGTTGTTTTAAGCCACCCAACCTCTGGTGCTTTGTCAGGCAGCCCTAGGACCCTACTGCAGTGGTTGAATCTGCACCGGAGGGCCTTGCCCTCCTCGTATTGTCTCAGCACCTCTACCAGTGAAAAGCCTGTGGGGTGGGCCCCAACCCCCTCAGGTGCCCACAAACACACTGCTCATCAAACACGTTACCTCCCAGGCCCTGGGTGGGGCCGGGTGTAGGCAAGACCCTTGGGAACACTTGTCCAGCTCCCATTCTCTCTCTGAGGCCTCAGGTTCCTCCTTCAGGCATCACAGACCTTTTCCTTCCACAATTACGGACAAAGCTTAAAAATGCAAATCTCTTCAGTTATATAACATCTCTACTGCAGTAGGAACCTTTGTGTTCTGTAGTAAATGATTTTACTACAGGTCCTTTCCTGCATGTGGGCTTTGAGAGGGAAGACAGCCAGGAAGAGCACGTGGGACCAGAAGCGATGTTGCTATGGTGAAAGCAAAAAGCACAAAGCAGGAGTGGAGAGCTCTGAAGACCCAGGCTTCCTGTGCCACAATTTCACAAAGCAAGCCAAAAACCCGGCTCTCATTCCTTTGGCCAGTCAGAGAACCAGATCTTTAAGCCTCCCAGCAGCCCTGCCCCTGCACATTTTTCAGACCCAGAGATCAGTCTGCCCAGGTGCATGCAAATGGGAAGAAAACTGAGACAGAACATGGGCAACTGCCATCCGTCCCTACACCCCTAGCATAAGGATGCCTTGTTACCTCTACCAAAGAGAAATAGAGAAAAATGCCATTGGAGGGATTCGGACTTAGCACATCCACATCATTTGAGCCCTGAAGGTCATTCTGTGTCATATTTTTCGAGTGCTAACCATTCTCTGGGAACCCATAAACCAGAGCAGCCTGAGCCCTACCACCACCCCATAGTAGCTATTGGGGCCAGAGACCACCCATGAAGAGAAATTTCTCATTGTTCTATTGTCTGGATAGTGAACACCTGGGGCTCAGTCCCCTCTATTACTCATTAGCTGGGGGTCTTAGTACAAACAGGGCCCACCTTTTAACCTCTCTGTGCTTTACTCTTTCCATTGGAGATGTTAGGAGGATGGGTTGGATGAGTGGTTCTCAATCTTTGTGGTACATGAGATCTTCCTGGGGAGCTTTTGTTAGGCCACACCCCACACCAATTAAACTGGAGATCTAGGCATCAGCATTTTCAAAACCTGTCCACGTGATTCTCATGTGTGGCTAAGTTTGAGAACCTGTGGATTACATGACTTCTAAGATCCTTCCAGATAGCATGTCTTTCCTCAACATCTGCATCTACCAGAATTTTGATTTTCTAAATATTCAGAATTCATGGAGAGCCCTCAAATAAAGCCCACATTCAACTTATAGAGAGAAAGTCACTTTGCCATGGTTTGCCCAACAACACAATATTGGTATTTAAAATCTATATAATGGTCTAAACCATTATGGCCTTTCATGCTTTTAAGAGGGTGGAAGGGTTAATGTGATAACAGAACTATTCAGGTATCATTTAATTTATTATTCTAGGGGACTGCTCTGAATGGTACCCTGGAGTTCTGAAAAAATATTAAAGTTTTCTAGTCAACTAGTATTAACCAAACTCTCATTTGTTCTGAGGACTGCTAAATTCAAGCTGGAGATACAGAAGTGAAGAGCCTTTCACGTTTGAGGAACTCACGGTCCAAGGTAGTAATAATTATAATAGCAACAATAATAACAAAAGCAACCACAATTTTAAGGTACTTATGGCACATTAGGCAATGGGACTGGTGCTTTTTACAAATTATTTTATATTCTCACAACAACCTTGCTAGGCCAGCATTATTTCCTCCATTTTATTGCTGAGGAAAATAAGGCCCAGAGAGGTTAGGTAACTTGCAAAAGTCACACAGTTAAGAAGTTGACCTGCCATCCCAGCTTATGCTATTTCCACCATACCGCAGCATCTCTAGAAAGAAAGGATTGAGAACTAGAGATAGAGTTGTCAGGGAGAAGGTTAACTTCGATGAGGGAGAGTCAGGACTGGGGTGGAGGAAATGCTGTGAATTGCTCACATGAAAGGTGCTATAAGAAAATAAATATTACAAATTAATATGTTAACTAGTTATGTTTTAGGCTCAGTCCTGTAAGGAGACACAACCCTAGAACATGAGGAATTCTTTATGAAGGGCCAGCTCTTCGCAGTCAGTTCCAGCTTCCTTAAATTAGTCTTACAAAATAAGCCCACTATGCTCCTCTTTGGATTGCATAGCTCAGCAATGTCATTTTTTAGCCAGTATTAGGTCTTTGGATTTAGCCATATTTTCACTTTTCCTGATTGTCTTCAGTGATATAAGATGTACGCAAGGGAGAGGATAGTTGTGGGCACGGCCATGATAGTCACTTTCTCTATGGTGTTCATCATCCAACGCAGTGTGAACCAGCACATACTGAAGGTGCACACACACACACACACACACACACAATTCAAAATGAGGTAAGGAGTGGAGATCAATCTGTGTGTGTGTCTAAATGTAAAGCTAATATTTGAGAAAGCACTGAACTAAAATAATTCACCCATGAAACCAGATGTAGCTTGAAGAATAGTAAACACAGTATGGCCTAAAGCAGGAAAAGGGAAAAAGAAAGAAGCAATGAATTTTCTTAATGAGGCTTTCACAAATCACCATTTTCATGTTGTACCCCAAACAAGGAAATGATCAAAGAACTTGAGGATCCTGAAGAATACTCACAGGTAACAGAAAGTGGTTTAGATAACAGATTATTTTTTTAAATATTCTAAAAAAATATCTATGACATTTACAGAGTGGAAATTTCCTGTGCATAGAAAAGGTGCATCATTGCACAAAGGTATTATGTATACACACATGTAAACACTTCATATGCAAAATGTATATGGCTGAATACATGGTTTTTATGAGGATGGGTTGATTCCACAGCAATCTTTTCATGTGGAAAACGACCTCCACTCTGCAAATTATGAGTAAGAAAGATATATCCCGTCATTACAAATAATAACATAGTAATAAGTCATACCACAACCCCGGATGAGATAATATATCAACTACAGCGTAAATCTAGGTTAACATCTATTCCTAAAAGGGAATCAAGAAGTATTTATGAAACTGGAGCAATGAGATACTGGGTTAATAGACTGAAAAGAGATACGTGATTTATTCTTTTTATATTACTTCCTATAACATTTTTTGAGAAGATTTGAAAAAAATCAAATGAGAATAAAGATGATCGTATCTGAAATAGCTGGTGTGCTCGAAACCCAATTTTTAAAATTTGTAGATCAGAATATTTTAACAAGACAAACAGACCAGAAGCTTATTTTTCCCTTCCAAATGCTTATCAAATAAGAAGCGAACATTTAGAACAGGTTTTCTATCTGAAATCCTCTTTTCTCTCTCTCTCTCTTCTCTCTCTCTCACACACACACTACTCTCTTTCCTCTTAGAATTGCAAAATCTCAACTACTGAACTAAAGATGCGAAGAACCAAAGGATGTATGAAAACAGCGTTTTTACCTTTTTGCTGATCAAACACAGATGGAGTGCTGAAATCCATGGTTGCCTGTCTCATCATTCACCATCAGAATGGCAAAAAGCATCCAGGTTTCTAGACAGGAAAAAAACACCACCTCACATGTTATAGTCAACACATCAGTCAGATACAGCATCAGTCGCCAAGACCTCTGAGAATTAAATGTGCATTAGAGCTGCAGGTTGTTGTCAAGGCAAATGATGGTAATAAGTAAATGTTATTCCTACAATACCTGCCAGAAAAAAGAGTTACTTCTTAATGGTTCCATTCGTCAGCTAAGCTTGTGGGTAATTATCATACACCGTCCGACCCCCAACAAATAAACAAAAAAGCTCAAACTCAAAAAAACACCATTTGCAGGGGGCCACCTGCCTTGGATCAGAGCCAGGAAAACACTGGAGGTCATGGAGCTTCAGGAGCTGGAATGTTGCTTTAAACCAAAAGAAATCTCAATGGGTGAGTGAGGATTCACAGGGCCAGACGGAGCATGTGCAAAGCTGCCAGTGCAGTTGGATTCAGCTGTGTTCTTGGTGGAGTGCGAGCTGCATTTGGGTCATGTGAGCGGAGAGTGCCATCTCAATGGACTAGGACGTAAATAGTGTAGCAGGAAGCTGCTGGCCATGTGCGGTATGGAGTGATTACCCGTTTGCCTAGCTCATCTGCAGTGTCCCCCTTCAGCTAGCTTCCTTCTCCAAATGACAGGGAGGATAAGGGGAAGCAAGTGGCATTTTGAAAGGTTAGATTTCAAGGCTCAGATACCCATGACAATGAAATTAGAACAGTCTGCAATCACAAGGGTGTTCAGTGCAGTATTATCTGTGGTGGAAAAAAACCCAGAAAACACCAGCATTTGAGGAACAGTTGAATAAATGATAGTAAATTCATCTCTAGATTAAAAAATGTGAGGTAAATCTCTCCCTGTATTCATCTGGTAGGATGTCTCTAATCTATTGTTAAATGAAAAAAAAAGGTATATATTTCATTTGTTCACATTTCTATAAAACCAAAACCACCCACTGTATATGTAAATATATTTATATATGTTCTAAGGAACATCAAGGAAGATGTAGAAAGATACCCACTAAACTGTTAATAATTGGTTACCTAAGGGGATTGCAATTAAAGTAGTAGATTTCTAACTCCATCCATCTTTGTACTTTTAGTCTTATAACAAATGTCTATTATTTTTTGTCATTAAAAAGCTGATGTAATAAATTCAAAGCAAACTAACAAAGTTCTATACTCAAGATAATTTGATTTTGGGCTAAATCACACAGCCATACAACAGGTGCTCGCCTAAATGCTATTGAAAATGGTAATATTTTCTTTTTAACTTTGTGTGTGCATGCGGAAATGAAAGCAGAAACCATTTTTCTTCATATATGACCATAATTTGTTTTGATATGGACTGATAAAATTTATGACGTTCTTCGATAGACAAGCTTCTTTCTTATCTCTTGCTTCTTATATTTTCTCACTGCCTTATCATGTATTTTCCATTAAACACATCATCTGGCCTCAATTCCCTGTGGCAATATTGCTGCTCACTCACCTTTCCCACATCAGCCCCTCCCCCCTAAATGCCCTCCGTTCTTTTTATTTAAAACGCGAGCAGAACCTACTTCTCATAAATATCATTATGCAAAATGTGCTCCATAGGTAAATCTCTTACATTTCCCAGTGCTGTTTTTTCGCATTAGCCATGAAAGCTGAAGCAAGAAGGCTCAGTGGATTGGCAAATAAAGTGACTCATACTAGCATATACTCAGCTAAGGAAAGATGGCTCAAGCTTGCCCAGATGACTGAGGCAAAAGGATTTTTTTTTTTTTAGATTTTATTTATTCATTTGACAGAGAGACAGAGAGAGAGGGAACACAAGCAGGGGGAGTGGGAGAGGGAGAAGCAGGTTTCCTGCCAAGCAGGGAGCTGGATGTGGGTGGGACTCGATCCCAGGACCCTGGGATCATGACCCAAGCCAAAGGCAGACGCTTAACGACTGAGCCACCCAGGCGCCCCGGCAAAAGGATTTAGATTAATTTCCTTTTCATTCGTTTGCTCATTGATTCATCAAGTGCTATGGAAGGATTACCACATTCCAGTCATTTCTATAGGCTCTGATGATGCAGGTATGAGCAAGGTCTCCACACTCAATGAACTTAACACTTGGGTGCAACTTCTGCTTCTGGCCAAGGTGGAGTCATAGGGACTGGATTTACCTACTGTGTAAACAACTAGAAAATTGGGCAAAATATCTGAAACAATGGTTTTCAGATAGCAGGTAGTGATTCCTGGAAGAAGAGAAACAGATGAGCTGAGTCTGATGGGTCCCCAGCTGACTGCCTATAGGGTCTCCAGGCTGGAGCACAGGGAGGGTGCAGCGGGCTCAATGGTGGTCCCCCATAAGATGCATCCACATCCTAATCCTCAGAACCTGTGAAAATGACCTTATTCGGAAAACGGGTTTTTGCATATGTAAGTAAGTTAAGGATTTCGAGTAGAAATCATCCTACATTATCTGAGTGGGCCCTAAATCCAATGACAAGTGTCCTTAGAAGAGCCATGCAAAGAGAAGGGGAGGTCATATGACCAGAGATTGGAATGATGCAGCCACAAGCCAGGTACCCTTGGAGCCACTAGAAACTGCAAGAGGCAAGAAACAGATTGTCCCCTGGAGACTTCACAGAGGGAGCACAACACATTCCTTGGTTGATGGATTTTGAACTTCTGGTCTCCAGAAGTGTGGGAGAATAATTTCTGTGTTTTCAGCCAAGTTTGTGCTAATTTGTCACAGCAGCTTCAAGAAATTAACACAGAGGAGGTACTGAAAATAAATGCAAAGTCTCAATAATTGTTACATTTCTGCACACATTTATAATGTTACCAAAAACCAAATTAAAATATAGACAATTTCATGTGGGTAAAAGGGCTGTTTGGGGCTCATTTTGAAGAAAGGCAGTCAAACAGAGTGGAAAGGATATGAGTTTGAGCTTGTTTCTCATTCGCTGTGTGATTAAAGCAAGTTATAGAACTTTCTGAGCCTCAGTGTCTTAATCTGTGGCAAGAAAATAACACCTCCTAACTTCTCATGAGAGATATTATTGTTGAGTCTGCTCCTGGGCTTCAAACAGAGAAAATTCTTGCTATCCAACTAAAGCCAAGTGCAAGATAACATTTGGTTTATTCCTAGGTATCTTATGGTTTTGGGTGCAATTGTAAATGGGATCGACACCTTAATTTCTCTTTCTCTGTCTTGTTGGTGTATAGGAATGCCACTGATTTCTGTGCATTGATTTTATATCCTGCCACTTTACTGAATTCCTATATGAGTTCTAGCAGTTTTGGGGTGGAGTCTTTTGGGTTTTCCACATAAAGTATCATTTCATCTGCAAAGAGTGAGAGTTTGACTTCTTCTTTGCCGATTTGGATGCCTTTTATTTCTTTTTGTTGTCTGATTGTTGTGGCTAGGACATCTAGTACCATGTCAAATAGCAGTGGTGATTGTGGACATCCCTGCTGTGTTCCTGACCTTAGGGGGAAAGCTCTCAGTTTTTCCCCATTGACACTGTTGGTGGGAATGCAAGCTGGTGCAGCCACTCTGGAAAACAGTATGGAGGTTCCTCAAAAAAGTTGAAAATAAAAGCTACCCTATGACCCAGCAATTGCACTACTGGGTATTACCCCAAAGATACAAATGTAGGGATCCGAAGGGGTATATGCACCCTGATGTTTATAGCAGCAATGCCCACAATAGCCAAACTGTGGAAAGAGCCAAGATGTCCATTGACAGATGAATGGATGAAGAAGATGTGGTATATATACACAATGGAATATTATGCATCCATCAAAAAGAATGAAATCTTGCCATTTGCAACAACGTGGATGGAACTGGAGGGTATTATGCTGAGCGAAATAAGTCAATCAGAGAAAGACATGTATCATACGACCTCATTGATATGAGGAATTCTTAATCTCAGGAAGCAAGGTGGTGGTTGCTGGACGGGTGGGGGTTGGGAGAGATGGGGTGCCTGGGTGATAGACATTGGGGAGGGTATGTGCTATGGTGAGTGCTGTGAATTGTGTAAGACTGTTGAATCCCAGACCTGTACCTCTGAAACAAATAATACATTATATGTCAAAAAAAAAAAAAAAGAAAAAGATAGCAGGAGGGGAAGAATGAAGGGGGGGACATCGGAGGGGGAGACGAACCATGAGAGACGATGGACACTGAAAAACAAACTCAGGGTTCTAGAGGGGAGGGGGGTGGGAGGATGGGTTAGCCTGGTGATGGGTATTGAGGAGGAGGGCACGTTCTTCATGGAGCACTCGGTGTTATACGCAAACAATGAACCATGGAACACTACATCAAAAACCAATGATGTAATGTATGGTGATTAACATAACGTAATAAAAAAAAAGATAACATTTGGTTGTTTCTTCAAGTACATTTTGAATAAGGCCCTTATTCAGACAAACGGGGTGCCTGTGGTTCATTAACTCTTATCTCTAATGTAGGAGGGGAAAAGAGAAGAGGTCTCTGTAATTGCGAAACCTGGCTGCTGGTCTCCCCTGCAGCTCATCTCCCACCACCTTTCTCAACCCTCACATCCAGCCACACTGCTCTCCTTTCTGTTCCATGAACATGCCATGCCCTCTCCCAACCTCGCAAAACTTTGCCATTCGGTCCTTCCATTTGGAGTGTCTTTCTTCAATTCAAATGTCACCATTTCAGAGAGACTTTCCCTGACCACATTATCTAAAATAGTCCTACAGTCCTTCATCCCACCAGTCACTTCCTTCTCCGGAATGCCACTAGTGGATTTACAAAGAGAGATACCCCTGTCAGGGAGACTGGGTCGCTGTGCTTCTCAGACTACCTGCGGCAAAGGACCAAGTTTTTAAAATTTCCAAAACATCATGGACTGATACATTAATAAAATGTGATAAAAATTAATAATAGAAAAAGAAAAGTTTCTAGAATGCCAGCCCCAATATTTATTATTAGATTCAGTAGCCATAAAGTTATATGTCAATAAAAATAATTGAAACAGGGATGCCTGGGTGGCTCAGTTGGTTAAGTGTCTGCCTTCGGCTCAGGTCATGATCCCAGGGCCCTGGGATCGAGCCCCGCATCAGGCTCCCTGCTAAGGGAGCCTGCTTCTCCCTCTGCTGCATCGCCACAATCATGCTCTCTCTTGCTCTCTCTCAAATAAAAAAATAAAATCTTAAAAAAAATTAATCAAAACAAACAGAATAAAAAAAGAATTATAAAAAAATGTACACATTGTTCACTGAAA